AAACAAAACAATTATAAACAAGTTGAAAAGTCAATTATAAAATTATAATAATTAATAGCTATTATAATACCCCTACATATTATATACAAGTATACTCGTATATATATATATCGGTTAAAAGGAATATAAAATATACGTTTGTATATTTACATTGAATAAAAGATCAGAACACTATATAGTAAACCCAAAAACAAGATAAATACAAGCTTGTGTTTACAGTTAAAAATTGCATGGGTATTATTCAATAGGACGCGACATTTTGTATGGGTTGAAAAATGGGTCTGTTTGTAAAAAAAAAAAGTTTACTCCATAATTCTTGTGAAATACTCACGGTTTATCTTTTGTAAACAACAGTTAAAAAAACCCATACTCATCTAAAATTTATAAGGAGCATGCACACATGGTCGTGCAATAAATATTACTGGACACTCATTTCATTTATAAGATATCAAAAAGTAATTATAAAAAAAAAATCTTAAAGAGGTTGTAGTTTACAGAATTAAATTTAAACGCATTACTATTTCTATAAAAACATTAAGTTTGAATACTGAAATAGTGTTACTGGATGGAGATTACTAACTACTATTGAGGGACCAACCATACATCATTCAATTTTTTGAAATCCTATACTAAATTTACTATTTTTTTTTTTTTTTAATTTTACTAATTGTAGATTTTCATATTTATTTTTAGTAAAAAAAATGTAAAATCTACATTTAAATTTATTTTTATTTTACTATCATCTTATATAATAGTTTAAATTTTTAAAATAATTTATCAATTATGATACATTATTTATTGATATGTAATTTTCTTTAAATAAACATGGAAATTAAAAAAAAATAATAAATTGTATTAAAAACTGATAACGAAATACCAACATTTTTTCTTGAAATGCAACACATAAATAACTTAATTATTTTCAATAAAATAACATTAAAAATAGGTAGGTACCTACCATTATAAAATCCCATCATCATTATTCGTTTATTATCAACTATATTAATTTCAAAACTAAGACCACGCTTGTCTTACGATCATGAAGAACAAATACTATATATTAGTGTAAAAAAAAAAAGCCGATTTAAAACGTCTTATTCACATAAGCTCAATATTATAAAATGAAAGTAAAACTTTTTTATTCGCGTATACTAAAAACTAAAGACGATATCTGTGCGTAAGATTTCGAGTAGATTCCTACAGTTGTTGTTAAAGCTCAACGATAACGAAATACACTATTTTGTTGTATACGTGTAACGAAAAACAAAATGTATCATAAAGCAATTTGTTATGCTAGTAAAAGGGTAGCAATGAATTTTACATGGTTATTTAAAATTTAAAAAGCACTATACTACATTGGACTTATCAATAATAAACGGAAACATTCGGCGTACCGAAACATATTATGATTATATCAAGTTAAATTCACGGTATACAGTCAATATACATGTGTATATAATATATGCGTTACATTATATCATATACAATAGAGTACAAAAATTGAGCAAATTTTTTTCGATATTAATCGACAAGTTATCGCGTGTAATATTATTATAATATATTATACTTATGCATACAATCACAATATCACAGTAGTTGTTAGAATATACTACAGATAACTATGTATATGTTATATGTATAATATGTATTATATACCATGTTTATATAATATATCATATAATATACGTTCTACATAACAAGTACCCGCCAATTCGTCTTTCCATATTTTGTTTCTAAAGTAAAAAATTCATTTCAACGGCGATAAAGATTTTACGATGTTATTTAACATAACATATACGGAAGTGTATATTGTCGTCACACACGATGGAACTTCATCAGTATCTTAGGTATTGTCAATTTCTCCGTGTGTATATTGACAAGATTTATTTTATTACTACCTCAATTTATCCTTAATTCGTACTTTACAACTTTTGCGCATCACTGCGGTCCCCATATAAAATGTATAATACTATACGTACGTACATTATACGTATACACTCGAGAACACATAAAGTCTCATTGAACACTTCTTAATATTCGTTAAATGGATGACAGTTATAAGATTTTTACAACTTATTAAATGACTACATCAAAAGTAGAGTTATGTATACATTCGGCAGTGGGTGGATCATGAATATAATCTCCTCTCTTTTTTTTCATATTTACAAGTTTAATTTAATTTAAACCAACAATTTTCCTCGCCTCACGAATAACTTCTAATTATGCTAAGATTTCGTTTAAAACTTCACCTAATACAAAAGTAAAAAGTAGGTTATACAATTAAAAAAAATAAAAAGTCTACTTTAAATAAAATTTATCATTCTCAAATATAACATAATACGTGCACCTTACGAATATACAACATACCAAATTTGCATTCATAAATTTTAATTTTTTATTATTATTGTTAGTTATAAATCATATTAAAAATAATATTAGACGAACTGTTACTAAGCTTTTTGTTTTATATATATATATATATATATAAATATATCATAATCTGTTATACATAAACAATACAAATAACAATCATAAATAAGATGTTATAGGTACAATAAATAGAAAACAACTGAGAAAAATAACATTAAACACAACTTCTCAGTTATAAAATACTAAAAAATGTCGTTAGATCATTGACCACCTGGATAACAAAATTCACTGATCACAATCACTTTATGTATTCAAAAGTTGTTCTAGGCCTATGAATGTTCGTAATATCTCTAATGAGATCTGTCTAGCTAAGACAAGAGTCTGGTGATAGTGTTGTTAAAACAATGTAATTTAATAATATAACATCTACAATGAGAAATTTCACAAACGAGTAATAATCTGTGAGGCCTCTAGTTAAGACTAAGTAAAATGTAAATATGCTAAAATTAGGGCTTATATAGTTGTAAAAACTGTATATTGTTTTATATATTTTCGATTTATAGCAGACTAAGCTAAAAATCCGAACTAATGATGGTATATTAAAAATCAAAAATTTAAAATGCTTATTTTGTATATTTTGTCAATTTTAAGGAAAAAGTACATATTTCATTAATTCTCTTACGCATATTAAGCATATTTAATTTTTAAAAAAATGATTTTTTTTTTTATTAATCTATGAGTTTTAAATAATATTCAATATAAAACTCAATATTATTTACACAATAGTATTTTTGTCATCGTCACAATCAAATATTAATTTGATAACAACGGTACGAAATGCATTTAAACTATACCATGCTAATATGTCGAAATATTATATGATCATCAATAAGTGGTCGATTTAATGGGCGTAACACTTTTTACCTTTTTACCTGAAAAAAATACGAAACGATTGCACACAAAATTAATTTAATTTTATACTGTTGACTAAAATGATTATAGTTTAAATATAGTTCAAAATCTAAACTAGGTGTTTGGTCGAAACAATTTTTTTCGATTAGATTTTTATTTTTGGAAGATGTAGCAGATGCTTTTGCTTATTTAATTGAAAATAGCCCTACTGATAATTTTGAATTCACTAGTTTTATACTCAATAATTACATGTCATCTGATACCGATTTTCCACCGATTTTATGGGCAACTGAAGCTGAACCTTCAACAGAGACAAGAACTTAAAGATAATTAGGTAAAAGGTGCACAATCATGTTGTATTTTCTCAAATATAAAAAGATAAAAAGCGCACATTCATGTTGCAACGTGATTTAACTTACCGTATGTAAATCTATTTATTGTTTATTCGTTAATAAATGTGTTGTAAAAGATTTTAAAATTCCAACCAGTTTTCATCACATTTATAAATATTAAATATAAATTTATTTTTCTACTTTTTACATTTGTTTTTATGTAACAACATTAAATGTTTTTTTTTTCTTTTTGGAATTTCTAATAATTTTTTTTTTTGCTTAATTATAATTTTTTTATGAATATTTTGCCTATTAAAACTCCTATAACTTCTAACTTTTATGTAGATATATATAATATATATATAAATATTATTAACTATTAATCTATAATTATTAACTATTGAAAAGCAAAACTTTCCATTATAACTTATACACTGAAGTTTTAAAGACCTGACGGCGCGCATTCACTTGTTCTCATACATCCACCCATGTGGTACTGATACATGTGAAAATTTCAATTTATAATATGCAGGTATTATAACAATATTAAATAATATGTTTGAAGTGCATCGCGAATATATGAATAGAGGTTTAGATAATAATATTATACCAGATGATTCATCAAGCACGCTCATTCATTTTTGTTATCTAATAAAGCAGTTATTCAAACTCTGATTATTGCAGAAATTTTTAAATCTTTTAAATCTACCTCTTTTGAGATTGTTTGTTCTACTAAAGGAGTATACAGTCGTTATACAAACTACAGTTTTTCAAATAAAAATTTTCTTTTTTAATTTTAAATTATTTAACGGATAATTTTGTTGAAAATTATTTTGACGTATCAAAATTAAAATTCAATTTAATTTTTTGTACTAAGAATAAATTCGTATGATAATATTAAATTTGACTTTGAAAGATTGGAGGCTTTGATAACTTGAAAATGTTGGCAATTAATAGTAACTTATCAACATTTGTAAAAATTGTTCAAGTATAATTAACACTAGACCCAATATACATTTATTGTAGATTTTTGTAAATCTTTTTTTAAAGATTACTGATATATTTATTTTAAAAACTACTTGTACGAATTTTCGTTTGGATAAATAAAAATGTTATCCACTAAATAATTTTCAATTAAAAACGTGGATTCTATTTTGAAAAATAGAAGCTTATACGTATATCACCACAGGTCATTCCTTAAATAAACCAAAAAAATCACAAGGTTTGTAAATATACTTATACTATATGCTTAAAAATTTCAACAAAAAAAAATATTAATAAATTGAAAAATAGAAGTGAGCACACTTGGTAAATCACTTCGTATTTATGTGAGCTCAACTTTTATGATATATATACATAATAATTACTATAAATATTTCGTACAACCTGCAAAACGTCGGCAGTAACAGCCGGCAACTTGTAAGGCAGTCCGTATGGGTGCGGGTATTGTGGCGGTAGTCTGGTGTCGATGGCGCCAGTTCCAAGCACGTTCAGTTCGGGCGCAGCGGCTGCACCGACGTCTTTGACCTTTAAATTGCTCTTGAATGGTTTTTTGGCGACTGACGATGAGGACGAAGACGTCGGTTCAGCGCAGCCCGAGGGCCGTCCAGCCGTGAACAGCTGATGCTGGTGCTGGTCGAGAGCGAACGTGACGCGTTGTGACCGGCCAAACGAACCGCGGCCGCCGGACGACGACGACGACGACGACGTGGACACCTGGCGTCCCGCGGCCGTGAACAGGTCCGCTTCGGCCACGGTGACGGCGGCCGGTGGCGGCAGCAACTCTTCGGCGGACGCAGTTCGCTTGTTGATGAACATCGGCCTGGACGTGGCCTGGTGCTGGCCACAATTGCACGACGACGACCGCGGCGGTTTACCACAGTCTACGCCGCCATTGTGCAGTTGCATGTGGTAAGCCGAGACTGCCGGTGGCGGCGGCGTGGGCGGCAACCCGGATGGCACGATGCCGGCGTTCTGCAATTTCGTTCCAGCCGCCTGCAACTTCTCCTGGATGAAAGCCCGTTTGGCGCCAAAGTCCGGGTCCCGGGCAGCCGCCGCTCGGCTACCGGACTGCATGGTGTGGTAGTGATGGTGATGATGGTGGTGATGCACGGGGTTCCGGCCGTCCGCGCTCGAGCACCGTTTTGTGAATTTTTTGCGCCTGTAGTCGAACGATGGTTCGCTTTGTGTAGACTCAACGTCCGTCTGAACTCCCGATGGCGGGGCCCACGACGAACGCACCGACGAGGAAAGCATCGTTCCGAACCGTGACTCGGCGAGATTTCCCAGCGATTGACGCCGGCACGCCGCGTCTAACGTCGCCGACGAAGGCAGTATGCGTGGACACGGTTTAGCCACCACACCGAGCGCCTCGGCCGCGCTGATTTTCCTACCATCCGACGACGACTGCTGCTTGTTCTGTTGACTGTTGACCGCCAGCAGTGCGGGCGACGAACACCGACTACCAGCCGATAATCGGAATGACGACCTGGCCAAGTCTTTTGCCGGTGGTGATAAATTCTTCTCTTCCACAGTCACGTCGACCGGCAGGCTGCCGCGTTTCTCAGTCGGCGGCGAGGACTCGGCCGTGACCGCCTTTATCGCGCTGTCTGAATGGTGTCGGACCTTTTGCGGATGTACATTCTTGACCGGTGACTCGATGGTTCGCACCCAAATGTCCGCTGCGCCATCATCCTCTCCGTCGTCGTCATCGTCATCGTCGTCGTCGTCATCGTCGTCGTCGTTATCATCGTCTGTACTCTCGGCCAACGTGGAAGTGCCCGAGTCCACTTCAACGGGAAGCTTCTGGTCGACTATTGTACCGGCAATGACTGACGACGGTTTGACGGCACATCCGTTTTCAAACTTGCTGATCAACGCCGAAGCGGACAAGTCTTCGTCCGGTTCAGCGGCCACTGGCGATGGTATAATAGGCGGCGGTGGTGGTAGGTTAGTGTCTACGTCCGAAACAACGGTACGAGGTGGCGATGGTGGCGGCGGCGGAGGAGGAGGTGACGAAGCGGTCACCACCGCCGGTTCCGGTTTCTTGCAGACCGGTTCCGCAGCAGATCTTTTCGCCGGCACTGTGGTCAATCTAGTCTGTTCACCCCTAGGCGGCACCGGGGGTGGTTTCTGTTTGCCCGTGGCCGTCGTCCCTTGCGCTGTAGCTGTGGACGTCCTGACCGGCGGCGTTGGAGCGCCACTGCTGGCGCCACCGCCGGTGCCGGAAAACGTGTGCAATACGGACGCCGGCACTGGGGTTTGGAGTTGTGGCTGCGGCGGACGATGATCGGCGGCGGCGGGTGAGGCCGCCAGGTAAGTGAACGGTTTGCCGAACGCCGCGGCCGGTCGCATAGTGTTGACGGAAACTATACTTCCGGTCGAACCAAGCTCGTCGCCGAATGATCACATAAAAATCGCGAGTGCCCGATCGAACCGACGGACGGAAGGACGCAGTGTTCGCGAGCGTACGGCGGCGCAACGGACGATCAAAAACGGAAACGTACACGCACCGCGGAGGAGATATTATTATAATGTGTAGTATGCGACTCTCGCGACAGCGGAAAACGTCGTCGGTGCACAGTGGTGTGCGCGCCCCTCTCGAGAGAGCCGCCGCGTGCGTTTGCGTGTGTCGTCGCGAACTGGGGACCCGACGCGAGCAGCGCGGACGGCCGTCGAGCGGCGGCGGCGGATCGAACGGCCGGCCGTGCGCATGACCGTTGCAAAGGAGCGCGCGACGTGCCGCTCCGAGGCGGCGGGACGTGCAGGAGGTCCCTCTGTGCGTGCGCGCCGCGGAGGAGTAATACACAGCAATTATACCGTGGAAACACCCCGTCCCGCCGTTCGCGCAACGATATTATATATATCATACCGTCGCCCTTCCGCGCGGCGGTGTCGTCGCTCGCCAGCCAGCAGCTTTTCATCTCCAAAAACGAATATATTTTACTCTGCGCGAAAAACCTAACCTATAACAACACGTTACACGCCGTATCACCGCACTGTTATTATTATTATTATTATTATTATTTTACACTCTTTTGATATCGATCAACTGGATATACATAATGCACGACACGCCACGCGCACGCTATACATTTATGCACGGCAGCAACAATATACGGCCGCCACCGCCACCGCCGCTGCCACCCCAAAAATATTTCGTTTTTTTTTTTTTTTTTTTTTAAACATGTATGCACGTATGCGTATAATATGACGTACGAGATCATACATTGTTTTTTAAAACATTTCACATTAGTTGATGTATGCGTGGAACATATTTTTATTGTTTTGAGTGTTTTCGATGATGTTGTCGTGATTTTTATCGTCATGCTATTGTTGTTGTTACATCGACAAGTAATATCACACCTGTTTGAAGTGTTTTTAGGAAATTCCGAGACTTTGGCATACGAACAATGATACAGCGTTTCCCGCTCCGTCACAATTACTGAATAACTCGGTAAATACGTAAAACGCGATTATTGGCAATAATGTACTCGATCACTGCCGTGCTTAGTTATAGGTACTAGTTTACGAGTAAGTCGATGATTTCTTATTTCCGGTCCCAATTAATTTAATTAATGACGTTAACTATAAAGTAACATTATACTGTTAATAGACGCGTGTCTTTAAAGATACACTTTTATTGCATTCCTGTTCATTTTCGTTTACCTACTTGTAAATTATTACGAAACCCATTGACATTGATTACATACATTAAATTTATTCCAGCTATATAGTAAAATATGTATTTGTTACTCTAAACGTGGAAAATGTGTGTTTATATTATAATTTATTGAAATGAAATGTCCCTCAATATCAAAAAAAAAAAATTCTTCGGTTCCCTGTCGTTTCGCGAACAATATAATAATTTATGATGATCGTTAATAAGTATAAATCTAATATTTATTTATTTATTGAAAATATGAGCAGATTTTCCAATAGTAAACGATTACAAAACCACTATTGTAAATATATCTTAAATTAACAAGAAAACGTAAAAAAAAAAAAAATACAAAAATATTGTGTGTAGTTTTTCTTTTTGTAAATTTACTCCATAAATTAAAAGGTTATCCTCTTCCTCTATCATGCCTAGAAGGCTAAAAAGGCAATGGGCAAGAGATCTGCTCAATACTTAAAAAAAATAAATAAATAAAATTTAAATCCTAATTTCTTGTCAGGTGGCACTACTGGGAGCCTTCCTTCTCTTTAATTAATGTTATTTTATGTTCTTTAAGTCACCACACTTACTCATTATACACTGTATTTATAGATTGTAAATATACTTATTTTTAATAAACAAAAAAAAAAATTTACTCTTACTTTTTTCAAATTAAAAAAACCAGCACTACTATAAATAAAAAAATACTAATGATTAAAACAGAATAAATTTATTGAAAAAAAATTAAAATGTATACGACAAGTATAATATTATAAAATAAATACATTTATCACTACAACTTAACTAAATCTAAACAATCTTATAAATGTAATGACCGGTGGAGAATTATTTCAATTAATCTAATTTGATTATAGTATTTAATACTCAAAGAGTAAGTCTTGAATAATATAACGCAATTTTATCCATAACAAAATTCCTCTAAATTAAGTTGGTTGGCAATAACGTTTCACTCAAGTTTTAATCGTACCAAATATGTTATAGGTATACTGCTGTGTACGAGTATATCATATAAAATAATATATCAAACAAATAATTTCTTTATTTTATTGTACTATTTTGTACTACATTATTATTTATTATTATATTATAATTTTATACATAATATTAGACCTTATAGATCTAGATAATACGTATTTGCGATATATATCGACAAATACTAAAACAGAATATGTCAATTTTAAATTTTAATTAGCTAAAAATAATTTTAAAATTTCAGATTTATATTGTTAATAAAAGCTACAAAATTAACTTTAAAAGTGCAACTTGTAAGTGCTGTTTGTTTTCTTCTTTATTATTAGTTACTCATTGTAATATATATAAATGATCATAAAATAAAAATACCTATAAATTCAATTTTAAATATTACGTATACAAGAAAGTAAATTACCAGTAACTATTAAATGTTTATTTTAAATTCAATACTTTTAAGTTTTAATACACATATTACATTTATTATTTTCATACAAGCTTTATACAAATAAATAATTCTCATAACTATCGATTAACTATTTAGCAACCATTTCTTGGAAACTGTAATTATTGTAGTTATTTTGGATTTTGTCAACTTTAAGCGGAAAGATGAATTTAGGTATTGATTTTACAATGATATGTTTTTTACTTTATTCATTGAACACGTTAAGTATTTAAAAATATGCTTTGATTTCCGAGCATATTCTAATTCTAATTTTAATAGCATATTAATTGGATTTAATTGGTATTTTTAAGAAGTCAACATTAAAAATGTCTAGCATTTTTTAAAATAATTAGCAAAAAATATTATATACCTATTAAAACATACAAGTTTTTAACTTAATATATAATAAAAATTACTTTTAATTAATTATTTAATTAACTCAGTGCATTGTGAGATTATTTAAAGTGCATACGTGCAATATTAATATTATATGACAAACATACAAGCACAACAATCATAATAATTATACGAGTATATTCAAAAAAAGTTCAGAATAGTGAATACCGACCACATTGATATATGCTACGTCACCAATCAAGTAATATCTATCACTTTTACGTATTACAGTTACATACGTCATCAATGTGAATCAGATTTTAAACGAGCTAACGGTAATGCACGGTAATATACCTACTTACTACTTGATAGATGCTCTAGTATAACACGACTATATATTTGTCAAATTTGAAGTCAAGTTACCCAGTTATATTTTACAAGATTTTTCTTAGATTCTCAAAATCTATCCGTGTTTTAATATATGCAAATTATTAATTCTATTCTTTAAATAAAATTTGTGTATATGAAAGGTACAACTATTTATTCTAAAAAAGAAACCTGTAAATAATGTAGATGACTTTGTGCATCATATCTTAATGTGACGTAATCTTTGAAAAATGAACAGACCGGAATTGGCCCAAACTTGTGTCGACTTCTACACTGTAGCATGGCAAACAATAATTTCAGAGGCAATTGCTTCTGAGATTTTTTTAAATAAGAGGGTGGGTATAGTGTGAGCATTTTCAGTTCATCACGCCACTAAATCATTGCCTAACACGATAATGGTTCGAAAAATGTTAGATTGTACACAGGGACTGGCCCTCCCCCCGCCAAAAAAAAATGGTATAGTCATAACTCATTACTATATATTAACCGAGATAACTGTCACCTATGAATTTATATAAATATTCGATAATACATTGTAGTTCTGTGAGATTTAGGTTTTGAGTGGAGTGTAATTGTTTAATTGTGTTCATAAGATTCCTGTTGATAGTTACTATAGTTAGTGTTAGTTTTGCACTCGAGTGTATGTATTATCCGAATGTCTGATTTGGTCATGACAATAATATAGTTACATGTCGTAACAACTTCGTGACGTGCACAAAATGGCATACGTCGTTTGTCTATTATCAATATTATAATTGTATCATTATCGCGTTCTCTTAGAAAATCAATTTTGTTCATATAATTGTCTCGATGCGTGGTGCACGTTTATTTATTAAATAATGACAGTACTTGTTCAATGAGAAAATTCAAAAACCGGTAGCAATTTTTGCGCGGAATCTGCTCTTTACTCGAATATTGATAAAATATCTATTTATTTTTTTATGCGATGCAATGATCTTCACCTGTATTTAATTATATTAACTATAATAGCATGAGCATATATTTCAGGCATTGCCCAACGCTGCTTGTTATTGGTTATTATAGTTATTACGCATATAAGGCCATGCCAAGCGCCGTCAACGATTGCTTGTTACGCAGGACGCCGCTCAACCTCTCTATAGGTTTCGACTCTTGTCTACGATCGCTATTGAGCATGAGACCACGCCCATTACGTTGTCGTGGTTAAGAGCCGATGTCCAACGCACCAAGTACGCCGCCTTACATTCCGACTGATCCCTAGAATCTATTTATCTACAGTTCTTTTATTTGATTGGTAGTAATCGCGCAATTATTTAAACACATATAATATTAACTCCGATTACATAATATCATTACATCTAATCAAAACATTCGATTTTGATACGTGCATAACGACTAACAAGCATTATACCATAATAATTTATTGTGATCACCGGATGCGTATGAGGTCATCAAAAATAGATAGGTCGAACAGATTTATACAGGTTGTGTCTTATTGCAGCCGGTGCGTATTAACCCGGGTTAGACCCGCGCTCCATATAATACATAGATGATAGATCCAACCCGCGGCTAGGCTAGCGGAAGATAAGTAGTAGCTTTTTAGTATGATAGAGAATCCTTCCGCTAGTATTCAGAATTAATGCGTGACAAGCAGCCTGTTAGAAAATCGACCGCATTCGAAAACTCATGTACCTATTATACAGCGAATATTGGCCGAGAACCCCCATCACGTTGAGCATCGAGGGTTGCAACAGAATACGTATAATAGGTTAATACTAGTAAGTTCAAAGTAAGGACATAATATGCATGGCGTGATTTACAATACACATTCTTTGATTGGCGTAAACAATAATTGTACATTACATAGAGTTATAAATAAATTAATACATTTATTAATACGCCCCGATTATGCGTAGAATCAAATTATGAGTGGTTTACACCTCATTCTATTACAATTATTACATATTACCTACCTTTTTTAATAATTAAAAAATAATATTTTTGTAAAATGTTTGAATTAATGTTTAGCTCCATAACATAACTTACCTTTCCCAAAATGCGTAGATACATAATATATATATAGTAGATTGAAGATATATTGGCAAATAAATGTACCCTGAAATCCTGAACGTCCCAAGATTTATGCACGGAATTTCGTCACTATATACGGACGTGAAAAACAAAAAAATAAAAACTGTGTAACTGAAAATCGAATGATGGAGAAAATATCTGTAACAGCAGCCATTTTATCGCGATAACAAAAAGTGACCAACAGAAAATATCGTGGTTTCCTACTTGTGTACCATATAGGTACCTACAACATGGTTAATGCGGTTGCTTCGGGTCTACAGCTTGTCACGGTCAAACCGCGTGTTAGTCTATAACTTCGTACCCATATAAATGTTTCAGGCGAAAACTTTTCGAAGGCATTTGTCCATGAATACCACAGTAAACTTATACAAACCTGCGGTCCCCCAAGCGCCACTGGCAATCGTTGTCATTGTATAATATATGTATAGTTATATATTTATTCAAAGAATTCGCAGCATACGGGTAACCGTAATGTCCGTCAATCTTATTTATTTTAATAGTCACTATCATTTAATTTACAATGGATTTTGATCGAACCATCGTGATCCACGAATGCGCACAAAATATTATAGTGATTTGCAGTCCGTCGAAACTACAATCTTAAACAAACCACCATATTCTTCAGAGAAAAGAACACGTAAATCTCAAAACTACACTTGTATTTTCACGAAAATTAAGCAAAGGCTGACGACACATATCACTAAAAGTTTTCGTATATTTTTCATTTTACAAAATTTTACAAGGATATAATTGCAGTAAAAATGTTTCAATTTTTCAAGTACAAAAAAAAGGTATGTATAAATACAACATGACCTTTAGTTAAGATATTTAAATGTATAGGACTACTTATACCTACAATAATTATATGATAAGATAACGAAGAAGTTCAAACAGTTTACGATAAAATTCGAATTTTTACTTTAATATGTATTTTATCTTTTACCAATATACAGTGTCAAATGTTCCTTTGTACATTTTATTGTACTGACATATTAATACAAATTGTTCATAAACCTCTGCTATTTGTTATCATCAGATAAAATCGATAACAATTTGTTCGAACATAAACATCACAAAATATATTCTATCAGTAAACCTCGGAAAAAAAGTCGGCCGCAGTGCACAACTTATTTCATAAGCAACAGCGACCGTAAACTCAAAACCAGTAATTACTAATAATCGAACTCATTAAACTTTAACATTCACCGTGTGTTATAATTGCTAGATATTATTAGGTATTATTATTATAATACATTATGTTTTATTCTTATATGACACTTATAATATTTATTATGTATAACTATTTTCTTGTTCCTTATTAATGTAGTCGTAATTGTGTGTAATTCTCTAGTATACAACTTCAAAATGTAATGGTAAACAAACTTTGATTATACTTGTGTAGTATAATATAGTAGATACTTCTCTCTCACTTATTCTCTTTTTCTCTAGTCTCTCCCATTCACTCTTATTTGTTGGCCTTGTTTAATTTTAATTCTTATTTCTTGTAGATTAAGCTTGATTATTTTTAGTAATATGACAATATGTAAAAAATCTTTCGCAAAAATAATAATTAATAAAATGTATTCGTATATAGCTATAACTAATATATGTAATACTGCAATTAAAAATGTTCAACTAAATAAAAAAATAAGATGAAAATAAATTTACGTAAATACAGAAAATACATTTTAAAATATTATTATATCTATTACATTATCATAAGCGAAATGCTGGTAAATGTATGAATCCCTGAGATATTCTACACATATGAACATATCCTTAGGGGATATATTATGAAAGTTATATTTTTTATAACCTTCATTTCATATTAAACGTAGGTACCTATATAAATGTCAATAAGCTTAAATATTTAGAATCTATACCGCGTTACATGCGATCAGCGCTGAAGAAAACTAAATCACAATAAATTGCGCATGAACTCTAATCCAATATAAAGTCTTAAGTAAAACAGTTTAATATCATAGATATAGTGTAGCTAAATTGAACAAAATCTAAGGGCTTAAAGTTTTAGTAGTATTTGTACCAAATAAATATTTTTAAAAAAAAACCATGTTAAAAAAAATATATATTTATACATAAATAAAAAACGAAATATTATAATAGATGAAAAGGAAGTTCTATAACACGCAATTTTAAATTAATTATAGTGCTCATATGAAAAAGTTCAAATTAAAATACTAATAATAGTCTATTAATAATAAATAATAACAATAATATTAATGTTTTCAAATAAAATAAATGTAATCAAATCCATACATTATTTACAAGTAAACTAATATAAAATTAAATTGAAACAACTAAAATGATATATAAGTATATATATATATATATATAGTCTTTGTCCTTAAATAAGTAAACAAGTCATTACTTACTGAAGTCCCAATCCCAAACAACTATTGCAAAGTTAATGAGGTACCACGAAATATTTTAGTTGGATGACCTTATATTGAAATAGGGTTTTCGGGGAATGAAAGGGAGCACCAAAATACACAATTTTAGGTAAATTTCAATTTTTCGACCCTGTCAATACGCGCATGCTTAATAAAACTTACCTTTTTTCAAATGGCAATACCATTTTTTTTCTACAGATTCGCTTAAACTGCTTAAAGAACTTTTTTTTTCAAACAATTTTCATATGAAACGTTTTTTTATAACTATAAAATTGGTAAAGTTATAATATGTTGGAAATTAAATTTACGAAAAATCTGTCTTTAAAAAAATTTTAACTAAGCTCGACTTAATTTTACGTGAAAATAGAAATAATATTTCCGATATTATAAATTATCTGTTTGTAGACAGGTAAGATATATTTTATCGTAATTTACTCTCATTTTTGCCGTTCATAATTTTAAAATAAGATAGTTAATATAAAATTAAAATAAAATATTATAACATTAATTCAAATTATTACAACTAAGCAAAAATATTCCACTTGTAAAATTTAATGCAACTTCGAACAATTATAATTCATAATAAAACGAAAACACATAATATATATTTATATATATACAGTCCATTGTATACCATCGCATATTGTCAATATTGTTTCTATCCAATACCGTCTTTGGACTAAATTAGCGAATACAGCGATGAACTCCATAGCACTTTGGTGGATATTTTTTTACCATTATCTCTTCCCCTAATTTTGTAAGACATTATTAAATATTATTATTAGAATCATCACTGGCTAATAAAATTTTTTATCATATGTTTTTAAATTATTATCATTATACCTAACAATAAAAATGTTTAGTTACCATAACCTGCAGTCTATAATTCGTTCAATATTATCGACAACTATTCTACCGTATTTTGTTTTTCTTATCCATTAGATCAGATTTACGAGTATATATACAATTTACTATACCCCGGAATAATAGCAATACGAAGTTTAGATTGATAGCAATACGCAGTTTGGATTGAAATAATGTTTGCGTTTAGAACATTCAGTGTGGTCCAAAACAGAGTTAACGAGTTCTTAAAGTAAAACATGTATTTAAAAATTAATTTAATATAAGATTTAGGACACTTATTAAGTATAGTATAACTATTATAAGCTTAAGTTATATATTTTGTTAGATATGTGCATACAGCCTCATGGGATTATATCTATTTGATTTGATAAATTAATTTTCTTAGGGTAATTTTTATTTTAAAAATAAGATTATTTACAATAAAAAAAAAAAGTAATACCAAGGCCGGCGCAAGAGTAGTATAATCAGTGCACCTGCATAGGGTCCCACGCAAATGTGGGGCCCCGCAGAAGTGGAGCTGTTATGTTTTTCAAAATACAGTTGACAAAATAGTTTAGTAATATTCTAAAAACACGTAGGTCTAACTGGAGTTTATGGCTTTCACCTATACCTTCACGTAGACCGTATGTTAGCGATGAGCGTTAGTCACGAGCCATGGAGGAACAGGTTAGTTCAGTATTCATCATACCTTCCTAGGTCGTCTATGGACCACCAGCACCGGGCTCTAGGGCTAAAATTGAGTAACTCAGGAAACGTACTATTTTAGTAGGTTAAGTATTAAACTTAATTGTTAAAAAACAAAATAAATCAATTTTTATGGGCTTTGGCCAAATAAAACGTTCTAAAACTCGATGGGTCGATATTAACCCTATCTGTCACCACGCTATAATTATTCGGAAAAATCCTAGATAACCTTACTAGATATACTTAGTCTGTTCTAAAAATGTCGTCGACTTAACGGTATACACGGCTTTCTGTTAAAGTTTATCGTAAAAACTTTAGATAGATTAATCTAAACGGCTAAACGGACTATATGCCCATAGTATTATATTAGGTATATTGAACGTGGATTATACCTTGTATAGGCGATTTCCTCATATTCACGACCACAAACAAAGACTCCTCTCAGAGTCATATCAACATGGCTGCCCAGATCATTCAAACTTTCGGTCCATCTCCCGTAATGCCCGGAAGAATTGCACCATAGCGTCATCATCATCATCGTCATGTCCAGATAAAGTTATGGACATCGAAGGAAAGTGCGCACTGGTAGTAGACGGAACGAGTGGCGTGGGCTTTGCATTCGCAGACGAGCTGTTGAAAATGAAAGCCTCCGTAAGTGTATTTATTAACATATTTTGAAAACCCTAATGACAATATTAATACAGAGGACTCAATAGGAAAATTAAAAAAGGTCGATTATTAATAGGACATCCACTGTTCACTTTTAAGAGGGCTGGATATTCGTATTTTATCACAAATATTTAGCAATACATACTACTTGCGTCCGATATTATTATCAGTAGGTGAATTGCGTCCCGCAGAAAAAGATTCAAAAAGGATCATTGGCCATTGTCTATTTGCGTCCCAAAACTATTGATATAAACAATATCAATATGTTAATTAAAAAAAAGGTTGATGTTTATATTAATTTATAATATAAAAGTTTCATTACATCATATTGTCGTCATATCAATATGTTAATATACAAAATGCATGTTTTATATTTTTTCATGATATAGTTAATATAGTTATAGTTAATTTCAAATATAATATAATATAATTTAAAAATAAAAATAAAAAATGCATGTGTTTTACATTTTGTCTTGATAAGATGAATTTTTCTGAATAAAAATAAAATGTGAAAATATAATAATTAATAAGGGTAAAATACAAAAGATTATCGACGTATAATTTCTATATCTTATCGAATCTAACAACTAATACAAGTTATATTATATTATGTACATTTTTCCCTACCATCTTCATATCACATAATACTCGCATATAAATTATAAATAAAATATATCATAATGTACCTAATTATTATGAAATACCACAATTGATATAGATTAATTGTATCTACAAATTGAACTGTCCTCATCCCACAAATAATGAGTTTTATTATACACTATAGTTTATAAGCTATCGATTTTAGTGACACTATACTACCGATTTTAGTGATTTTTAATAGGTAATATCGATAATAATTATACAGTTGATTTAAGTACCCAAAATGGGATGCAAGTTATTGGTCAAATTTACTACCTGAAAAGTTTACCTCTTTTTGAGACGCAGGTAACATGTAGCCATATTTAGGCATACCTAGAAATATATATCTGTAAACAGAAACTTTGCAATATAATATTATATCGTTTCCCCATCATCGATACTTACGCATAGTCTTCATATTTTATGATGTCAATTACGATAATCAATTTTTGGCAGAAAGTTGTCATCACTGGCTTAGACGCATATAAGGGAACTGAGACGGCTAGCAAACTAAACAAACGTTACGGTCCAGCCAGAGTAGACTTCTACCAAGCAGACATTTCCAATCCGTTAGAGTTCGAAAGTAATAAACTCTTCCTATAATGATAAATTATGTACCTTAATTCTGTATCAATCACACTTTTGATTTCATGACGGTGCATATTGAATGCATATTGCATACACGCAGACATGTTCAAATACATCAAAAATAATTTTGAAGCACTAGACATTTTTTTCAACAACGCTGAAATACACAAAGGAAAAGATGTGATCACGACCAATTTTGTGAGTGTTATATCTACCAATAAAACTATAAAAATATTGAAGCAGCCATAGATACATGATAGGTACATACTACATAGAGAATACCCTCCTCCCACATACTCTCGTTTCTTCAAACCTATCGATTCGCATAAAGATACTGATTTTCTCAAAACGTACCTATTATTACTTTATTTAAAAATATTTTTTTTTTTTTTTTGTAAATGATTTTAAATCATAATAAAACATTAAAACAATTTAATTTCTTACTATTTTTTACTTTTTTTAATAATGTCATTGATTACTTTGAGTCAGTATTATTTCTTGGCCCTTCAATATATTTTAAATTCGAATTTTATACAAGTAGGTCGCAATAACTCTTTCAAAATTCGATTTTTTACATAGTCAATTTAAAAAAAATTTCAGATTTTAAAAATATATGATATTGTCAAAAACATCAATACTTTTTGAAAAAATAGAAGTTTATATTTAAAATAATCGACTTGTATAGATAGTAGATGCATAGTTCAAGTAAAAGATATTGCATCACAGTACTAATAACAAATCCATGAAATAAATAAAATCTATATATAGGTACATGATAAGGATTAATAATGGAACTGACTTATTAAAGACCTACACCATAAAAAAAAATTATTATTAATATTAATTATTATCTTAATATTAATCAATATCAACATTTTTCAGAAACATAGAAGTTCCATATCATTACATAGAGATTATATAGAACTATGGTAGCCTTGTCCCTCACCTCAATATTTAATTTTATATTATTACACATTATTAATTTACAAGTTCAATATAAACTTTTTAATTTTTTTTTATTACAGCAGGGATAAGTGCTATAGATACTTATAATTTATTTATTTACCTAATTACCATACGAGTATAGCATCAGTTTTCAACATTTATAATTATTGGTCAATTATAATTTGTATAAAATTTTATAATTGAAATTGCGAATTATTTGTCTACAAAAGTTTAATTTTAATTTTAAAACAATTTTTTCGATTTCATTTCACTTTTATATAATATCCTTTACCACTCATTTTTTAATTATATTATTAATATTAGTTAAGTATTTAAAAATATCTTATTATTTATAAATTACTTACATATTTGTACCAGGTTCAACTACCTAACAAATTAAGTATTTTAAAATTATATTTTGATTGGACCACATAAAATAAGAAAATTTTGTGTTCCATCAATAAAATGTATAATAGTTGCAGCATTGTGATAATAGATATAAAATATAAATATATAGTACCTACATTTGATACGCGCTTTATTTTAAAATTTAAATATTATAAAAATATTTTACGATTTTATAATAGGTCTCTAACATTCAAGGAATTACATTGGCCTGCAAAAATATGAAAGGTGGAAGCGTCATCGTAAACCACACGTCAGCCCTAGGACTTGACCCGGATTCGGACATGGTTGCTCAAAGCGCTGCTTCAGCGGGTTTCATGGTCACTTCCACAGCTTTTGGCGTGAGTTTAGCATCCTATTTTATTGTTTTAAATACCTAAGCATCAAAATCAATGTCGTACAATTAACGTCGACATGCTGAGTGCTTACAAGGCGTTATTATTTATTAGCCATCTCATTATACAACCTTGTTAACAACCAACAGAAAAACAAATATTTCGAAAAAACTCAAATTAGAATGATGACATTGTGTAGTGAACTGCAGATACCATCGATGTGCTTTGAAGGAATGAGGCCATATAAACGTTATGAACTAGAAGAATATAAAAATATGTAAGTATTAAAAAATTATTTTCATGTTTAATATTAATTAAGAGAAGATTATATGGATTATGAGAAAGTACCTAAGTAGTAATTTTCTCTATTTCAAATGATAAGTACAAATATGGCAATACGCGTTATAATTCATAGATAATAAATTAAACTAACTTTGTGAGTCTTATATAAGTTTTATGACTTATTGAACATCTGAATATACTAATAATTTATTAAATCTACCTAAAAAAAAGTAATAAGTACCTAACTTTTATCTATAATAAATATTTAAAATTTTTATTTTTCAAGTCAAATTTTAATTGCCAAGTCCGCAAGTTATTTGGTCAAGTATGGACCTAAAAATACACTATGGCTTTGTCAACGAAGTGGTGTATTAAGTATGGTGGAATTACAAACATTAAATCAATTCATAGAAAAATACGAACCAAGTATAGCAGTAGAAAAATCCTAGTCCATCTGATCGCTTCGTCCGTCTAATCCTTTTGTCTCACCAGTCGTCACCACCCGATCGCATACGTACCCCCTACACTATCCTGTCAACATAATATCACCTACCAACAATTCACTACGTGACGTATTATTCACACTCACCCCACCATCACCACACCCATCCACCAACATATATCGTACATGCAGCATAATATAATACTTGTGCCATATTATCATACGTATACCATGTTACTCCTCTAGTTCTCTATAATCCATCTAGTTTGTCTAGTCCTCTATATATGGGCATCACTAGTGGTGTAAATTGAACTCAATTTCGGATGGTATAGAAGCATATATTTTTAATCTATAATTTTCAACACACCAATAATCCAACTTCCTAAGTAAAATCCTTCCTAATAAACTATATTATAGTATATATTTCTTTAAATAATAAATAAATCACAGAAGTAACCACAGAATTATGTGGTCACCATAAATAATAACCTAATTATCTATGTCAGTTACACAATTTTAAAATATAGATAGGGATAATAATTTAATTTATAAGGTCTAATACAAACACGAAAATTACAATTTTGTACCTGTTTATATACACATTATATTAAAAAAAAGATAGTTATAAAATTAAAAATATTATCATAGATATACAAATTTTATTTCAATAATTTTCTGGTGGTGCAAAAACATATCTTTGCACCACCATATTTTAGATATGGAGGTGCAAGTGCTACATTTGTATCACCCAGTTTATGCCACAGGGGCAGGGCAGTACAATCTTATAAAATAACACTAGAATGCTATACATTAATAGTGATTTAAAGTGTTTAACAATAGTATAATGTATTGATCATGTGCTACACCGGCCATGTATTTACACATTTAAGAAACAGTCTCCAACAATATACATGTTTCGACCGACACGTAAACAACTCTTATTGTTGACCGTATGTCCTGACGTAACTTTCGATATTTTGTTGACAGCACACACATATGGGTTAATATTTAGAAACATTATTCACTCTAACTCCACCACCACACCCATACCCATTGCCTTCAATCAATTGTCAATTATCATGTTGTTATCATATATTTTTTATTATTATTTGCTGACAACCACACCTAGAACAAGGAAATTCTACTGTATGCAAATTCTTTTAATCTCCTTTCATAATAATTTTCTAAAACTGTACTAGTTAAATCAGTTAAGGCTAACACATTATATGATTTGGAAAGATAAAGATGAAAATATGTATCAAATCAGAACCGTGCAGAGGTAAGTACAGTGAAAACTGTCTAAAGCGGAATCACATGGGACCAGCAAAAAATTCCGCTTTAAGCAGTTTTCCGCTTTATTCAATAAAACGGAAAAATTCCGGATTATTCAATTCAAATGCATAAGAAATATCAAAAAATATTTCTCAATTTATTGTTTTAAATACATAATATAATTCATTAAAATGTATTAAATTTGATCAGTTGATATTTTTCATTTAAGAGGCCGTCACAGTAGAAAAAAATTGACCGTAAAACATACTTTCGTACTTCCAATAGTACTCAGACCTCGTTGATCGCAGAAACATGATTTTAATATCAAAATAATCACGAGAAGTTGTACTAAATATTCTTGAAACAGATTTTTGATATCTAAATTTGTCGATTTTATATAATTTTTTAAAAAGTGAAAAATTTTACAAACTTCAAACACAAATAAAATTGGTTAGAAAACATATTTTAAAATTCTGTTCCAAGAATATTTAGTACAACTTCTCGTGATTATTTTGATACCAAAATTATGTTTCTATGATCAACGAGGCCTGAGAACTATTGGAAGTACGAAAGCATGTTTTACGGTCGATTTTTTTCTACTGTAACGGCCTCTTAATGAAAAACACTTATATTTTGGCATTTTAATATTTAATACGATGAACGGAAGATAAAATAAAATTAAAAGTGTACGTACGACTGTTGGTGTAAGACTGTTTCACAGTTACAAAGAAAAAATTTCGTATCGTTTAAGATACGATAATATGCATTATATGTTCAATACTACAATGTACATATTATATTTTATATTATTTTATATTATATTTTATATTATTTTTTATTATATTATATTTTATAGAACAACTAGCTGACCCGGCCACGCGTTGCTGTGGCTAAAGTTTTTGTTATATTACATTATAGTAAACAATCTAAGAGGAACAATAAAAGAACATCAGTCACGGAGTCCACTATGCTTTTTCACACAGATGGTATTTGTAAAAAAATATGGTGATCTCCTTATTTGACTTTCTACTACTATAACCCTTTAGTACAATAAAATTATTTACTAACAAAGACGAAAATGTTGATGTTGGTATACAAATTCACTGGATTGAGATTTGAAGGGGAAGTCACTATTTAACGATGTACATTGTACATCGGCATATCTATATTTTATACCTTATTTTTGGTTTAGATTTGATACGCTCGTGTCATTTTTCTGGTTTATGCAAGGTTTTTACTTGCATGGGACTTACAAAATCGTTCCGTTTCCACGTTATGAAGGTTCCGTTTTATTGAAGTTGAGCGTCTATATAAAACTATAGGAACGTGCCGGGACCATAGAAAAATTCCGTATTGGATAGTTTTCCGTTTTATTCAGGGTCCGCTTTAGACAGTTTTCACTGTATACATATTACCATGTGAAAGTTATAAATACATCGATGGGGCAATAATCAAACCTGCAGAAATAACTGATGACATTCAATTTATAAACAACGGTCTGGCATTTCTTTTCCCCGAAATGAAATATGAGATAAATAGTACTCAAATTCAAAAACTCGTTAATCCAGGTATAACGACTATATTAAAAGGCTGTTGCTCTTATAATAAATAAAATATTACATCATACCATAACGCTGCTTGGGATAGCGACATTAAAAATGATAGCAAAAATTTTATTGATTGAAATATGTTAACGGATGCATTAATCTTAAAGATTTGTTCGGTTTTTGTGAAGATTATAAACGTATTTTAATAAACTGCAACCAACAACTTATATTAAATAGAGCCTCACTAGATATAAATTCTATTAAGTAGAATAAAAATAATGAATTGTCATAGGCATATATAAACTAAAGGACGTTAAAATAAATATAACAAAAATATTACGGCGTATGCTTATAGTAAAAATCAATAATTGGAAAAAAATTAGATTGTTGAAGGTTAGTAAACAATCAGAAACCACTAACATAGGTAGGCACACGTTTAGATCCTGAGAGTTGTGTGAATACCTATTTCTACCTCAAAACACAACACACTCGTGAAAAGTAAAAAATATCCAACAAATTAGAAAAGCCTCGATATGTCATCATCGGATTTCAAACTGATAGGAAATATAGTAATGATAAAGCAATGTCAAATTTTGATCATTGTAAAATTATAAACTTGAAGGTTTATTTAAGCGCTGAAGAGTTTCCCTAAATGAAGATTTCCAAAGCAACTTAACCAAGAATTAGGTAGCTACATTATTCCGCGCCTATGCTGAGTTTCAAAAATCTTACTACGGACATAACGATGTACAATGTACACCCCTATTAAACCGATCAGATAAAAACTACTATTCAGTTATTGTTATTGATATGAACAGACAGAACGACAGCGTCAAAAAATCTACTACTGACCTCAGAATTGAATTTAAAGCTGACGAATCGTTTCCAGCTTCCACTTCAGCGTATTATTTAATATTACATAACCAAATTAAAACTTATAATCCATTTAATGAAGAATTAAAATCTTTATAAATATTTTTATTGTAAACCTAAATACTAATAAATGAAAAAACTTTTTTAATATATATATATTATATACTATGCCTTTTTATTTTATTCTATTATACATCTTAAAATAGTTTTATTTTATTACACACCTTAAATTAAAATAGTTTACGTTTTGGTGTCAAATACACTTATGATACAGAAGTATCAAAGTCGACTGTTTCCATTAATGGACGCATATTGAAATATGTTGATCCATCATTTTCGTCGACTGCTCTTCTCGACGTTTGTATCACAAAACTCGGCAATGATGGTATAGTGATAACGGTGCAGATGGTGGCGACATTGGTATAGGTGGAGAAATGCCAATAATTTCTTCGAAAAACTAAAATAAATAAAAAGGTATTTTAAAATTATTGTTTAAGTAATAATATATATTTTTGAATTACCTCATATGAGTTGTTCGTCCTTTGGTTTAACAAAGATTCAGTCAATTTTTCAGCTGCACACATCTGTATCTATTTGGTGTAATTTGGTATAGAATTGATTATATCGTCTTGTACCTATGTCCTTAATAAAAACTGTCATCGCATCGATATTTTTCAGCGATGAGTTTTGTTGAGCATAAATGTATATTGTAAATAAACATTTGTTGACTTTAAATATATCCATAAAAATGTATAGTTCGATGAATCACCTACGTCCTACGTAATCTTATGAAGAAATAATTCTGTTAGATCATTATTAAATTCTCTCGCAGCTCTCAAATAACTGAACATTTAAAAATTAAATTAAATTAGTTTAAAAATAATATATTTTACTCAAATTAACAAAATAGACTCAACTAATATTTAAATCTAAAAATAAATTGTTTATAATATTGCGAATTTGCAAATGTATATTATTAACAATTATATTTTATATCACTAGTGCCTATAAATTACAATAAGTATCAATTAAATTTAAACTGTATATTTAATAAATATAATTTCACTTGATCACTAATCACTATACAGTGAAGATCAAAAATAAAAACGTACCTACTGTTTTAATCAAAGAAACTACAAAAGGCAAAATTATAGTTAAGCCAACTACGTAAACGTAATAAATTAATATTTATATAAGGTAAAATCTTTATACTATTTTTTTTTTTTTTTTATTATTATTATTATTATTAATGAAAAACAATTTTTTATTTTATTTTAAAGGTACCTCATTATTTATTCCCAAGATGGATGGCCTT